AGTATATTTATTTGCTGTACCAGAATATTACTTAAAGCCTTTTCACTTATCAAATCATGGCTTCTATTATTTTCATGTCTCATATCAGAAGATCTCGTATCAGAAAATTATGCAACACGCAGCAAGCCATTGTCATACACATTTTTCGGGAGCATTTAATGCAGAGTGCGGTCTTTGCACAAGCATCGCCTCTTCTTTCTTTTACTGCAGTATATTGTGGCCCGGAGTTCCCTCTACCGCATCCAAAATGAGTAGGCGTCATTAGCCATGGTCGCTGTGGGTAGCCAGAATCACCTGTAAAAAAATATTTATTAGAAAACCTAATTTATACTAGCTACTTCCTCGCGGTTTCACCCGCTGCTCGACTCCTATTGATTTCATTTTAGCATCATAAGGTTAGTTTTTGTTGGAGTCGCTCACAGAAGTACTTGAAAGCTTCTTTATTTAGGCGGTACCTAGTATTTCTAAACTACGTTTCAGTGATATCCATTGGATTAGATATCTTTCTGAATTTAGCACGGCACACGATTTCTCTAGAATAAGCAGTTAATTCGTATTATTTTCTTGAATACATATGTCTATATTAAGTGAAACATAACTTGAATAGGTAGGTACTTAGGTACTCACGAAGTTTCTCTTGACTCTTCATCTCCAAGTAAAATAGCCACAAATAAACTATTTCTCCAACTTGGTTCGTACAGCGGCGGTCTTTGCATGATGTTATACTCGTAAAGAATACTCACAAACTTTATAATATATTATTTAAAACACGATTGAAATATTTCGAAACCTTTCTCACCGTCAAATTCTTAGTGACAAATGTTTCGACAGTTTTCGATAGCCAGCCTTCGAAACTTACGTTACTATACGTCAAAAGATCGTTCGTGCTTCCAATTTGTGTCAAAATGTTCTAAGTTTCGATAGCAACACGATACGATTACTATACGATAGTTGTCAAAATCATTCGTGCTTGCGATTTTTAGTTCCTTTTACGCACGGTAGGGGCGCTGTACAAATCCCATAGAAAATGCTTTCGATCTCGATACGAATACTTTCTCGATAATGTTCGTGCTAGGCACACTGGATGAAATTTGGCACATGCATAGAATACACTCCGTATGGGACACAGGCTTTTTATCAACATACCAAGCGGGCGCACACGGGCGGAAGCTAGTCTGGAAAATTAACGGTGTTTTCGCTTTTATACTTACTTAGGTACCTACACAAAAAATTGCAAAAAGTTTTAGCACATAGTTTTTTTTTTAATTTTTGGTAAGTGATCATTTGCCTTATGATGTGATCCGTGAAGTGTCACTATAAAACAAATTTGTCCAAGACCTGGTTTGATAGAATCAACGGTGGAGTAAAGCAAGGTGAAGTTTTTTGCGTAATGTGGACATAAAAATTTGAATAAGGAAAACGTATGTCATTTATTTTTTAGGTCTTAAGCAAATTGTTAGGTATGGTGGTATCAGCATCTTCGTGATCAGAATATGTAATACCTAGTTAGCAAGGTTATGAAATTTCGGATACGTATAAAGATAAAGATACGTTTATTTGTATAGATATACCTACTAGATATATGAATGATAATTATACAGGATACAGACACGGATACGTAAATGAAATGATTTCGGATTATCCACTAGTTTCGGATGATTTCGGTTATGGATATTGGTTTTTTGCAGATGTAAAATATAAATCTAAATATAGCTATTAGAATTGTTAAATCAATCTGTCATAATGCGTAGTAATTAGGCTTCAACCCTATACTATGTTTATGGTTCTGAATATTATTTTATATCTGATAGTTTCGGCGACAGTTACGGAGCTCTCTTAAATCTCTGGAATATTGTATACACAGCTCGTTTGTTAGATAAACCATGACCAAGTAAAGATTATTAATCTACGATAGTAAATTACGCATTAGATACACTTATGTCATCTATATACTTCGAACGTAGGTAAATATGTAAAGTACTAAGTTCTTTACACCTTTTCCAGTAACTACGACAATGAGCAAATGTTGTCAGTACCTACAGCAGAACCAGCCGGGGTTGCGGTGTAAGCGCAATGAGGCACCGCGACCTTGGCCCAGAGCAGGAGAAGGAACAGGGGGGTTTTTATTCAGTAAGAGTCTGACACTCCCTCCCGCCCGGCCCTGGGCGGGAGAAGTCATTTGATGCTTTCCCCTCACAAAAAAAACCTACAGCAGAACAGTACCGCAGAGCACACTAGATAAAAAAAATTAGCAGATCCGTCAATATTGTCGTGTTTAAGTAACAAACATCCAAACACCCAAACATCGTACGTAACTTACACATTTATATTATCTATTAGAAGTGATGAAGGATGAGAAGAGCTGAACATCCAGCTCAGTGACGTGCAATTGGGGAGGCCTATGTCCAACAGTGGACGACAACAGGCTGATGATGATGATGATGATTGGAAGTAAGATTACTTGCCATCATTTATTAAAATTTTAGGCTTGTCGTAAATTACTGTTTATAATTAAGTATTAATGGGCATTCATCATAATGAGATTGACACGATAACGCTTTAATTAAGTAATTAACGGAAGCCATCTTGCATACACTCAATTGTTTTACCCCTATTGTTAAATTGATAATTTATAGTGGTCTTGCAACACCGTCTACCTATATTAAGCTGTTTACCTACGTCCAGTTACTCCATAATTGCTTAGTGTAAATGCATTGTTAATCAGATAGCTTAGAACGGTTATTTTAAGAAAAACACATTTTCCTTAACTCACACTTATTCCGTTGTATAAAATGTGTGTTAAAACTCTTTGGTCGAACGCAATTCCAACGTGGGCTACCTACTTTCTTTATGTTATACTTCGCCGTGTTAAAGTGTTGGAATAATTTTAGCATGTTCTAAAATAAAAAATAGTACCTACCTAATAAAAAGGTAGCAACCATGAAAGGGGTTGGAATAATATAGGTAATAATTACAGATGTTAATAATAAATTTAAAATTAATAGACCGGTTACAAACTATTTTTTTATTTAAACGTGAAAATTATGCAAAGTAACGCTAATTTTACTGACAATATAAGACTAGCAAATGGAGCATGGTTTAATAATCTCTGTGTAAGATGTTATTTTTAGTTAAGTATATGTATATAGGTAGATAAATATAAAACTAATTGCTTTGACCATAAATCAATACTTTATTTAATATTTGCACCATCAACATACAAGGTAAATAGTTAATACCTACATATTAATCTTTGTCATTATTGCAAATGCAATACATTATGTGTTATTATTATTATGCACTTAAGTAGGTGATATTATCATACAGATTAGGAACAGAAGTGTGTAGCGTAAGTAATTATAGGTACAGATTTATTTTACCCATATAAATGTTTTAAGTGTAGGACAGCCATGCTTCGACACGAATGGGTCGGCAAACAATTTCGATGTGCGAGTGAGGTCACCGAAGACCCAATCCTTTCCCTTCTCTCCTCAATCCCTAATGCCCTAAAACCCTTATCTTCATAAGACCGGCAACAAACTTCCAACTCCTTTGGTGCTGCGTCCATGCGCTCTTTCTTCAGAAATTTTCTGCTCCGTACATCAAAACTTTGGAATGATCTTGCGTCGGCGGTATTCCCGAACCGATACGATCAAACATTCAAGAAACGAGCGTACTCCTTCTTAAAAGACTGGCAACGCACCTGTGACTCATCTGGTGTTGCAGGTGTCCATCGGCCGCGCCGATCAGGTAATAATAAGACTGCTCGTTTGCCTCCTGTTCCATAAAAAAATGCGCTACGCCGATTTCTTAAGGTAATCCGTCTTCCAGTTCGCTAACGTATCACATTTCAAGAAGAATTTCAAGGGTAAGGTACAAGGTGTCGAAATGAGGCCTCGTTCTGGTATCTATTGAATATTCCGGTAGATATGCCCGATTTTCCATTACAAAAAAGTCTGGCTCACGACACAGAGATCTGTGACACGCCCTTTTTAAACAAGTGTTGGATGAAAAGGGTCTTTTAATGCATAAATATCTCTTCAAATGACAACTATTTAATAATTAGCTACTAGATTAGGTACCAATACATATAGGTACCACAATAAATATTTTTGTTGTCTTATATTTCAGTAAGTAAATGTATTTATATTACATTGTGGAAAATTTTGCAGCTATATGTGGATTGTGCATACCACACTTTGATGATCAGTGGAGTGTGCGTGAATTCATCGAGCATGAACGATTGTATCAATTTGAATCTGGACGATAAATAACAAATTTCACATCACGTTACAAAATTCCCCAATAACCAATTTAAAAACTAGGTATTTAACAACTTTTTGGGACAAGCTCGCGACTATTACTCAAAACCACTGCAATTCATGTTAGTTGTCCCAAGGACATAGTCATTCATGTCCCTGGGACGCACCGGGTTTGTGTCTTGGATGCTGCATCATGAAATAATCAGAAGATAAGATGGTAAATTTAGTCCTGGAGACAAATGACTTAAGCCTTAAAGGCACAAAAGAGAGAAAGCCAGTCGTGGAGAAGCCCAGTTACCAGATACTAGCGGAAATTTAATATTGTACCTATGTGTGAGCTGCTATACCTATACTTGTTTCCAGTAAGAGGTATGGCAAAACTGTCTACCTACACGCGCGTAAATTGGTTCTACATCCCACTTTATTTCGCAACTTTTGTCTTATGTTCATCAAATAAAACTTAAACAAAAATTTGTGCAAAAAAACACTTGTTACTCATTCCCGGTTCTGGAGAAGAACCCGTTCCTGGATAATAGCTTTACGGTCGAGCTATCTTCCGAAAGGGATGGATTTAATTAAAACATTCGATATAATACAAGAATTTTATTATATAGGTAATATAAAATTGTATTACATTAATTTTAATTTAATTAATTTCTAAAATTAGAACTATGTAAATACATGTAAAACCTAAGATTATTTCTTTGATTGTTGATACAAAAGTCAAAGATAAAAAGTCATACTTATTTAAAATATTCAGATATACATATAACAATGAAATAATCACCAAGAATAAAATTAAAAAAAATGTATTTTGCGTAGAGATTATCCTTATATAAGCTACTTATCTATACTTTATCACATACCTACTGAAATGTGTAGGTACGGATTTGTATATGACATAATAAATGATATTATCATTCTTGCTATGCATTATTCATAAAACCGCTGTCATAAAAGTACGAATCTAAATATAGTAGCAGTGAAAAAGAAATCGTATCTACGTACGTTTTAGGTATAAAGTACCTACGTATTTATTTGTTTAAAAGAGAATGCGTAAAAATGCTAATGAGATAAATAAGACATCGTAACTTGAGACGAGTTTACGCATTTAAACAAAAACAGGTTGGAATATAATATCTTGAATGGGTCGCCTTTGTCAAGGCAGTCTTCAACTATGTCAATGCCACTTTGAACTGTCAAAACTTATTTAACTAATCTTGGTAATTCGATTATGTGGCTACTGTCCGATGTTTACCCCACTTCGGCCTACATTTATCATTGTTTTTGTTTTTTTATATTTTATTTGAAAAACATAGTTATAGTTTGTAGTAGATTTGTAAAGTAGATCATTGGAATAGAGACAGGAAGTAAGTACAGAAACCTTAGAATATTGTCACGTTAGTTTTTTGACTTCGATGACAGAAAATAATAGTTTTTTTTTTAGATTGTTCATTAATTATAGTTAACATCCAAACACTTTTATTAATTTTTTGACGACAAACAGAAGAGATCATAGACACTTATGTTTTGAATTTCGAGACAAAATTCCTGTTTGTTCCTCTTCATTTTCTGACAGTAACTTTAACCCAGAACTCAGGAATGGTGGTGATGATGCCTTGGATCCTTTTAGAAGGCTTCAGCAGCGGTTTGCCGTCAGCGGTGGATACATGGAATGTCTGCATAAAGCCAGCGAATACTTGGAACATGGTCTGTCTAGCGTAGGTCTCACCAGCGCATAATCTTCTGCCTGTAAGCGATAAAAGAAAATTGATTAATTAGCGTCTAGTATGATAAAATCTGTGGTGATTTTGCACAACAGTCTAGATTAGGCACAACGGCGGCAGACGGATAACTTGATAGTAAGCAATTGGCGCCGTCCGTGGGCTTGGGCACCTGCAACACCTGCTGTTGTTGCTGGTCTTTTGGGGATAAGATGGGGAAATAGAAATGATTGGGCCTCCGGTAAAACACAACGCTGTAGTTGTTTCACGTCGGTTTTCTGTGAGGCCATGATATAACTCCGGCTGTGCCGGCCCGTTGGAACCACGCCTCTTTCATTAAACCCTGCTTGGGAAAAAACTAACTAATTATTTTTTGTCGTGTACAATTAAACAGAGTGTTTATCTAGAGACCTCGTAGACGTACGTGCAACGAATGCCAATAACGCTAAAATTAATCTTATATTTAATTCCTAACTGAATCATAACGCCTAATCCATAATGATTAGGTATACAGTAGATACCTATTTTACAATTGTGTTTTCGTTAGTTGCTAATTCTTGATAAAATGTGCAATGGATTACGATAGGTATAGATATGTATATCTAAACTGCTATAATGTCCGAGCTTCCTTGAAACTTCGCTCTCGGAAGCTCGAGTAGGGACCTAACAGGCACCTTTGATTCCTAATCAATAAATTGCCCTCATTTCTCCTAGAGACTGAGTCTTTCTTATGTATTTTAACTTCACAAGCTTGTTTTCAAATATTTGGCTATCCGATAAGTAGGTATTCTAATTTTACCAAGAGTTTTAGATGCTTTAGTAAGTACGCCACCTAGAAACTGTTACATATTATTATGCCCATAGTATTATTAAAATTTTCATCTGTATGGTGCGTTTACAAATATATATTTCACAAACACATACATCACACCAAAACCCAGAATTACATTTTATGGATTAAAGAACGGGTTGTTCCGTGAGGGAACAGAAACCGCGACATGTTGCACGGCAGCCGGTTGCCCGTGCAGTCTGTGTCAGCACCAATCATTTTTGCTTTTATCAGAATTTAAGATTAACATTCGTAAATTCTGTCTTTTCTCCGTCTTACATTTTATATTACGTAACAATTACTTGAATCCAGATCCCATTACTACTTACCTAACCAAGTATACCAATATAAAATTGATCATATTTCCTAAGCCTTGATAATTATAGCAATTTTCTGCAGTTTCGCATTGAAGCGTAAAAACTTGTTACGAAACAAAACTAAGTGTGACAGGTTTATAAGCTAGAATAGGTCAGTTAGTACATACCTAGATAAGTGGAAACTGTATTACTTATGTATTAGGTATGCGTTTAACGCAGTCGTAGGTAATGCGTGCGACATGTCCAACTATCCGGCAAAAAACTTATCAATATAAGTTTTAGAAAAATAAAGATATTGGGAACTGCAGACGTACATAACTAACTATTATGTTACATATTATTATTATTATTATTTGTGTGAGGAACATCATTAAATGTCTTCTCTCGCCCAGAGTAAGAAGAAAGGGAGTGTCAGACTATTACTATCTTAAAACACCCTAGTTACTTTTCCTGCACCAGGCCCAGGCCACGGAACCTTATTGTGCATGCGGGTAAGCCCTGAAACTTGGCCCTTTTTGGGCCTCTTCTGTGGCCTATTGGGTCTTTGACGCGCCTAACATTATCCTCCTCCTTATTTATATGTATCTAAATATCAACATTTATAAAATGTCTTACAATTTGTTTATTTATATTTTAGCAAACAAGATACCTATACACTAAAATTTGCATATATAACAGTGTTAGGCAGGCAAAATTAAGCTAATTAGATGCCTATTTAGGAAAGATTTTATTTTTAAAAACTAGTTTCGTATCCAGATTTACATACAAATCACCAAAGAGGCAAATGCTCTCATATACCATTACTTTGATGCAAAATGTTTTATTGATAAGATAAGATAGTGTTTTTTCATAAAACACCGTTTTTTGGCGTGACAAATATTAAGTATTATGAGATGTGTGTACAATCGCATGTCGTCTACTTACAGTCTAGCTGACTCAAGACCTACATAAATAAGATCAGTCATATTATTTTTAACTAGCTTCCGACCGCGGCTTTGCCCGCATGGTATGTTGATAAAAAGCCAATGGTAGCCAGTGTTCTATTCCGGAGTGTATCCTATGCCTGTGCCAAATATCATCCAAATCTGTCCAGCCGTTTCGGCGTGATTGAGTAACAAACATCCAAACATCGTTACTTTCGCAATTATAATATGAGTTATATAAGAGGTAAGACTGCATGGTATGTTGGCATAAAAACAGCCTGTTTGTTAGTCTGGGTGACTGGGATCTCACCTATCTACATATCAAACATCCTAATTATTCCAGAAGTTTTTACTCCAAAGAATAACAAACGACAAATTTACGTTTATAATATATATATATATATTAGTAGGAAGGATAATCTATAATGTGTATTGACGTTAAATGACAAATTTCCGAGTAAACGTGAAAGGTAAAATAAAAATAAAAATTATATGAGGGCCAAATTGCAGGAAAACACTAAGGATCGTCGATTTTGTAAGTACCTAACACAGTGACACCTTCCCATTCAGGTCACTGAACTTTATACGGATTTGAGACCTTTAGGTAAGCAAAGGTATAATAAAAATGTTGGTAGTAACGTACCTGCTCCAAAAGGCAATGACTTGTCGCTGGCGAGGTCAAGCGCTCCGTCCTTGAGGAATCTTTCGGGACGGAAGTTTTCGGGGTCACCCCAAATATCCTTGTCCATGTGTAACATCGTCAGGTTGGCGCTCAACATCGTGCCCTGAGTTCAATCAACCATTTGAGAAATAACGAAACAGTGTTTTAGTTATATATCGAACTTCAAAATTATGATACTAAGACATTAGGTGGTAGGTACTAAGTAAGTATATTAAATGGCATTGAGGTACCTGCAGAAATTTTTAGTTAACATAAATTCTGAATAGTTTATAACACAAATTAATTTATTAAGTATAATAAGTGTGAATTTAAAAATATTTTATTTTTAGCAAAGTATTTTTTACGTTAAAGTTATTCAAATATTTCTAATAGGTATTGAGTAAAGCGTGGTTAGTGCCTAGTGGTTATCATTTAATTTTTATTAATGCAAAAATGATAAAATTTAAAATTTAAAATTCGAATATTAATAATTGAATATCGTAAATTAAAACATGTCCAGTAAAGTTCTAATTTTCTCACTAGCAATTTATACACAGGGTGTTACAAACGATTCAATAGTAGGTACTTAGTTGTTTTTTTTTTGAGCGTGTATATCTATTATCTATTGATTTCTACCGTCCTTGGTGGGACGAGAGGGTGTACGTGGCAGACTCTTAGGGTGCAGTTCCATTGAGGCGGAACGGAGCCGAGCGGAGAAGAGCTGGGCCGCGATTCACCAATCACATGGCTTGAAATCCACATCAGAGAAGAGATGCGCTCCGCCTCAATGTAACTGCACCCTAACTGACTAAAAACCACCCCGTTCCGTCTCCTGCTCTAGACTGGGATCGTTGTGAATTATTGAACTTGTACCCGCAATACGAGTACCTACTTATGGTTTTTTTAAGTTACTATGTAGGTTGAAAAATGTAACCTTGTAGTCTCTGTATCTTTCTCCATATGAATCTATACTTTGGAACAAGCAAATAGCTTCAATAGAAGACAGACCGACAGACTGACACACGAAGTTGAACTTTTTGATAATTCAAACTATGGTTTTGAATTTGAAGTTGAAGTTGAAATTGAATACGAATTTGAAGTTGAACTTTTTGATAACTTTCAAAAGTGCCTATTGTGGTTTAATTGAAATAAATGATGTGACTTGACTTTTTATCTTACCTCAGGCACATCGTATCCTGCGATTGTAGTATCCTTCATTGCACGGTGAGGAACCGACAAAGGTACCGTAGTGTCGTACCGCATAGTCTCCCGGATGCAAGCCTCCAGATATGGCATGCTGCGAAAATAATTAGAATAAATATTTCAAATTCATAACACCGATATACATTCGGTTATATTGTATTAGGTAACTGAAAACCAGGTCATCTGGTATGCATTAGTTCTATGCTTTTTATGCTTTCTTGATCAACTTTGACATTTCTACTTCGCACGGATGTTAAATTACCTCGCAAACGACAAAAAAGTAACTAATTCACATTTCCCCCCTCAAAATTCGTTTAGAAAAACCTTCTGACAATAACAAACAACAAAGAAAGAATCATCAAACTTGGTCCAGGCGTTCGCGTTGTTGAGTTATAATGCATAACAACACACAAACATGCCCAACACTTTTTCCGATTAATTTTTTAATACTAAGTATTTTATTAATTTTCAACAAATACATTCACTAGGAGTGGCCACGGTCTAGTTCCTTACGTGTAATTATAAAAACAAACGTAATTGGCTTTATGGTAATTTTAGTACCCCCATTACTGTCGAGGTACACTATGGTTTACAATTTTAATTAAATTAATTGTTAAGTAAACCCTCTTCATAAATATAATTATGGTTGTACCAAACAATGTTGCAGTATGTTCTTCTTATATAAAATGCGCTGTGGTGCTCACACACTGTGAAATTATAATCGTAATAAATAATATGCGTGAGTTATAAATGTTACCGACAACTTTTTTATTTCTAATTTTTTGCGAGCAATCTTCATCCTATATTTTTATTATAACTTTCGAGAGACATTCTAAATTAATTATTATGTTTTTGGCTTACTCACGACTAGTTCAGCTCCGACTCAGACTCGACTAGAGCAGCGCGACAGTCGCTGCGTTGCGTGTCGCGGAATGGTGCTCATGAATATGGGCCTCTAGCATGGCTTGAAACTAGTCGAGTATCTCGTCAAATTATTACCATTCTACATACATACTACCATTCTACAAATATTTTCGTGCCGTACAGATACTTCTGTTTTCTTTTTGAGAAGAGTAGGTATGTACCTAAAATATCTTTTGATTTCTCCCGTTCTCTTGTTGGGGCGAGAGGGAGTGTTGGTCTTATTGACTACTGAATCAAAACCACCCCGTTCCTTCTCCTGCTTAAGTTCGGAGCCACGGGTTTGCAAAAATGGAACATTAGTCATGCCTTAGGCATTTTCTACCAGTCGAGCCTTGGGTGTACACAATACACATATGAGCCAATGGCCGGTGCAAGAAGCAAGCAAACAGACTTAATTTTATATAAGTCAAGACGAGACAGACACATATATATGTGCAAACCATTTACATACAAGTTACAATATAATATATATAAAATAAGTACTCAAATTGCATAATATATTTATAAATAACAGTTTAGTTATTAGTCATTTTATGTAGGTATAGGAATAAAATGAGTACCTATAATTTCAGTTTACAATAGAATTGCTGTTGTCTATAGACATTAATTTTAAAACGATTAACACGAGTAGCGCGTATCTACATAAATAAACACGCTGTGTAACAACTACACAGCTGTGGGCAACGAAGTCATTGGTCCAATTTCTATGCAATTGTTTTGATGGATGACCAAAACGGTACCTACTCGTGATGTGGCGAGCAACAGTTAGTTAATGATAATCTGCAGTGGACAAGTAGCTGGCAGTCTTTGAAGAGGCAAACCGTTAATATATTTCTATTTAATTGAACTAGCTAGCTTTTACCCGCGAATTTGTTCGCGTGGAATATTGACTTCCTGCAGATTTTTGATATAAAAACTGTCCGGAGTTCCAAACTATGTCTGTACTAAATATCACAGAAATCGGTTCAGTAGTTTAGGCATGAAGAAAATACAGGTAGACAGAGAGAGTTAATTTCGCATTTATAATATTAGTTTGGATTAAAATTCGTTTTTGATTAAGACCTACTTCGTTACGTATGTATGTCGTCCTCCTCTAACCGAATAATTAAAAAAAAATCGATGTTTTTATTCGACCAATTACCTACTTACTTATCTATGTGTAGGTTAGGAGAGTAGGACAAATTCATGTAGGATTATTGATTTTTTGTAGGTATAGGTAAGCAATAAAACCTTTGTACCTCTTTTGTTATTTAAATGATAATATATTGTGTTTAAAAGTTTAATATTTTGTGTGTATAAATAAATAAATCATCCAATAATCCACTGACAAAAACACCCGGCTTCTTCTGCTTTGATATTTTAGCTCCAAACTCTACATGCGTTTACCAAACTATTATTAAAGGAAACCTAACTTAAAAACCTTGAGTGTGAATACGAATATTTAATTAAAATATGCAGGTATTAGATAATCTAGCTACTAACGTGTCCTAATGCATTAATGATACGCGGGTACAGACACGGTCAAGAACAACAAATAATTAATCATTGGTTCAAATAAGGATCGTCTGGGAAATTTGTCAAATCTCATCTAACACTAAGTATAAATAAACTAGGTACTCTCGCGCGGTTTCACCCGCGCACTCGCGCGGTTTCTAGTTTTGGTTTTCTAGTTTAGTTTTTTCGGTAGCTAGTTTTGCAATAAATTTAGTATGTCTCAAGGAAGTTTCTATTCAGATCGTAAATCTATGTAATAGATGGTGTTCCTACTTGTAAAGTCGTGTCTAATAGAAAAAGGATTAATTCAGAACTCACGACTAAATACAGTGTTGGACAAAAGTCGACTATCTAATCTTTTATCGAGTTCTAAGGTAATTATAATTAGTATTATGTTAAGATAGGTTAGTACTTAGTGAACCTTGATTCAGATTAGGATAAAGACCAGTAGTTTATTTACTATTGGATTATATGATAACCTACTAATTATTTCTAGCTAGCTTTTAGACGCGGCTTCACCATACCCATCAAACCAATTCCCAAAAAAATAGGTTCAGTCGATCTTGAATTAAACTAACCCGACTTTATTTTACATATATAAGATACTAGCGGTCGCCCCCGGCTCCATCAGCGTCGATGGATTTTATACTTTTTTACGATTTTTTTTAAATTTCTCTTTGTACACACCTTTTCTGGACCTCCACGTATAATTCAAGACCAAAATCAGTCAAATCGGTAAAGGCATTGTTGAGCTATAACATAAGTGGCAATCATTTTTATATATATAGATATAAGATAAGCATATAGTACTTATGTAAGTATCTCTATTTATATTTTTTTCGGCTTCGCGTTCGCCCTATTTAGGTAGGTTAGTAGGTAATGTGGTTGTTTTTATAAGGCTTCTTCATTGTTTTCATGTTAAGAATTATGTACTTTATGCTTTTAGGTGCATTGCATGGCTAATACTAGACAAGATCTATTTCATACCTCTTCCTATGAAGAGGTATGCTTGAAATAGATCTGCTAATTGTCTTAGTTGAAAACAGATGACATGATTAATTTTGGTCACAATCGTCAAATTCGTCAATCAAGTTATTTTATCTGAATATTCTGGAACGAATTTCAACCAAACTTTTTCAAACGTAACTTTATAAAAATGTAGTTACTAAGCACGCCTTGTAGTGTAGGTGGATAGTAGTACCCATGTAGATAAGTACTTACATAAAACTTGTCTTATTTTTTATTTTTTTTAGTCACATTTTCTTTTGGTTGCTTGGCTTAATATAATAGGTAGTATATACATATAGTAAATAGATGAGAGAAGATTAGGTTTACCCATATACTGTTCACGTTTAAAGATTGTTATAGATTGCCTATCGATACAGTACTCTTTTTTAAGCTCGACAATTGGGAAAGGTAATGTATAGCTTTTTTGGATCCTTTTTTTACCTAGTCTAGGTTCAATGTAAACCAAGTAGCTTACTAATCAACCTACCTAAAGTATAAAAATCTCACAATGCAATGAAAGTAGAAACACGAGCAAATATTCCCAAAGTAAGAAATCCGATTCACTTCACAGTTGCTAAAGTTCTTGGACAAGAACGGTATATCTTGATTGGCTTGGCATGTTGGTACCAACTAGCCAACAATCGACCATCAAAAGTTTACTGAACAAAGCCAACGGTTCATCCGTGCCAATGTTTAAACCTCTAAAAAGCAAGCAAGTTAACGGTAATAGAGGTAACGAGTACACGTTGTAAAGATCAGGTGTGTATACAGTAGGAGATGGGTTTGCCAAGCTAGGTTCTTTATTCTTTCTTATGTTCCTTAATCGCGTGGTGTACTGCGGTCATCGCACTTTATCCAGTAAAAAGTAAACAAGCACACACAACGACAGTTTGGTTTTTGGAAAAGTAGCTCCATTACTTCGACTCAAGGGCTTTATTACACTTACAGTTATGTAACGTGTACCTGCTTTATAACAAAAAGAAAATTATGGACAAAAAAAAATGTCTTTTTTTGTCTTGAGATTGTTTTTTTTTTAGTATTGAGAAACTGTCGTTATCTCTATCAAATTTATAATGTTAACACGTTCTGTCTATAACAAAAACTTCACTATCTTACGGTTTAACGATTGATTACAATAAAAAAAGAGGTCAAACCAGACCTATCGCAACAAAAAATGCGTAAACCTACTGAAATTAATACCTGTTTAAACAAACCCTGTCCTCATTCGAAGATAATCGCACAAACGTCATTGAGAACGGAACAAATCTAGACCATGAGTGCGATTATGATTAGGAGGTATTTGTGTGAGGAATTAGATATGAAAGGTGACCTATCACAATATTGATTATTGCCGATAAGTATTCAGAACAAATAGAAATTACAGTCAAATTCATTTGGCTTTTATTGGCAATTGATGATTGATGGTAATTAATCGAAGTCGGCCATGAATAGCTGCAACACCTGAGGAGTTACATTAGCAAGTGCATTACCATCATTTTGGGGGTAGTTAGGAATTTAAGGATCAGGGCTTATAAAAGGGGTAGATGATAGAAAATGTATAAGGGATTGCACTTCAAGTAAACTCACTCACACGGAGAAACTAAACGCAAGCGTTAATTTCGCATCGGTTTCCTATAAGGATTGTAAGGCCAGTGTTATCACTCCAGT